GCGATTGAAGGGGAAGGCATTGTCATGGTTCCACTCGAAGGCCGATCATATACAGTTGAGTATTGCAGAATTGTTTAACGAAATGGAGAACACGTTTGATCTGAGGCCTTCGAAGGTGAGTCTTCGCAGAAAGTTCGAAGAACGAACATGGCAAGTAAACGAAAGTTTCCCCGATTATTTCCACGATAAATTGATATTGGGAAATAAAATCTCGATCGATGAAGAGGAATTTATAGATTATACTATTGACGGGATACCGGAACCTCGTATTCGTGACCAGGCACGCATGCAGCGTTTTGACTCGAAAAACGAAATGCTGGAAGCGCTCCGGAAATTGTCGCTCGGATTTGGAGGCAAGGGACGGAGCGATAAGAAAACGATAACAGACTTGAAGGAGAAACGAGACGATCCGGTGCGCCGAGAGGGACCGCGATGCTATAACTGTGGAAAACAAGGTCACTTGTCAACAGCCTGTCAACAACCCAAGCGCGAGAAAGGATCGTGCTTTCGATGTGGTAGCATGGAGCATCGTATCGGTGATTGCCCGGGGAGCCGAGCGGCGACGGAGGCGACTCTGAACTTGGTGCAGCTGAAACAGGCGCGCGATTCCCCGTATGTGACATCCCTGAAATATTCTGTTGCGGACAGGAGCGGTAATGTTTGCGACTTTTGTATTAATGCGCTGTTGGATTCCGGTTCGCCAATTAGTTTGATTAAGAACAATTTCGTACTCGATAATGTGCAAGCAGATCTGGAAAATAATATTTCATATTGCGGTATTAACGGTTCTAAGTTAAATATAATGGGCCTATTCCGGCACAAGGTGACTGTTGCTGATGTTCCTGTAGATTTTGTTTTTCACGTCGTGCCGGAAAATACGATGAGTTTCGCCGCGCTCCTTGGAAGAGATTTCATGTCGTTACCGAGCATAAATATCGTGATGGGAAAGACCTTAAATATTGCGGGGACGGATTTAACGCCGGTCGCTGAAAATAGAGTTGTCGAGCCAGACAATGATATATTGCAAATCGATTGCGAGATCGACGCGGAGTCAAAGGTAACGGACATGATTAGCGTTAATCCGCGTGTTGATTGTAATGTAATTAAAGAATTCCAACGACTTTACGAAACCGAATATAAATCGAGCGAAGGAGCGGGCCCGAGCGACGATAAATGTATTGGCTCAGATACCGAGATGGTTATTAATGTAAAGCACGATCAGCCTATTCGATTCAGACCACGAAGACTTGCTTTTAGCGAAAAAGAAAAATTAAAAGTTATTTTAGACGAACTATTGGAACAAAAAATTATCCGACCCAGTAATTCACCATATGCCAGTCCGATTGTATTAGCGCGGAAAAAGTGTGGCGATATTCGTCTATGTATTGATTACCGGGAACTTAATAAAATTACGATAAAAGAAAATTTCCCTACTCCTCTGATAGATGACCAGTTGGATTGCTTGCGGGATAAAAGATATTTTAGTAGCCTCGATTTGCGAAATGGATTTTATCATGTAAAAGTAGCGGAATCCTCTGTAAAATATACTTCTTTCATAACTCCGCTAGGACAATACGAGTATTT